TTCTAATAATATGTAGCGACACAAAATATACATGACTCCTGTGCAAATAAGGGAGGATATGTGTGTATTACTTAATAATACTATGTTGTACTATTGTGCAAACTTATTGTACACGCACACACACACACGCGAACCTGTCGACGTCACATCCTCTTCTGGCTTATCCAACTTCCCTTGGAGATTGTGGATGTTAAGTCAAGTTAGCCTCAGTTTTCTGCAACTCAAGAAACAGTGAGGCAACATTTATTTCAAAATAAAAGCATAAACGTGTCAGCAGCTCTGGATCGCCCCTCCTGTGCTAGTTTATTAGCATTTACACAGCTAAAGGCACACTCGCCTATAAACATGTAGGTATCTGCTCACTGTACTAAAAAGTGGCAACGTGATTAATTTAGTTTTTATTCACATTTTGAATCGCAAAATGTAGGAAAACGTCTTCGCTTATGTTTTAATTCGAAGCTTTAACCCGGAAGCATGGCTCCTATCTTTAGCTAGCTTGTCTCTAACAAGCAGCAAGTGGCAGGTGCACTAGCAGATCTGTTACCGTGCAGAAGACCATTACAGCACATCGGTACCAGGTCAGTATCCATGTTTGTAGTCAGTGTTTTGACGCTAATTCAGCCACTTCCGGTGTGTGCAGTTCTTCCAGGAGCCGAGGAGCGACAGCGACTGTCAGAGGAACATCGCAGAGTTCATTAAAGGCTGCGGCTCCTTCTGTGTGGAGGTGAGCTGACTCCTTTCACACCCATCGATCAGTGTGTTGAACACGTGATGAGGCTCAGCGAGCAGACGCCGCCACATCTACACCTTCACACGTGTTGATGAAAACAGATTCCACAACTTGTTTATCTTCCTGTTCACCTCTTTGTTTATTCTGACGAAGAGGCTGCATCACGACTGAACGTGGCTGTGGTGGGGATTCATTCTCAGATGTTTCATTGTCATCAGCCATGATTGGTTTTTTAAATCTTTATCACCTAATCTTCTGTTTCCCCTGTTCCTCCAGCCTGTCAACACGTTTCCTCCTGCAACTTTTACATGAATCACCCTTTCTTTAGGGGTTATAAGTATATTCCTTTTATTATACATTTTGGAAGTCTGCTATAATATTATCATTATTAATGTAAATGTGTTCATTTATAAATGACTTTTAATCAAAACCTGTGGTCCAGGTAAAGGTCTCGTGGTGTTTAAGAACCTGGCAACGCAAAAGTTAGCATTACTCTTTTATTGCCCATTAATAAGACCAATCGATAAAACTTGTTTGAATTACGTTTGATAGAAAGAGGTACAACTTTCTTTATGTAAGAAAAGGTTGTGTATCCTTATTATTACAGAATGGAGGGTATGAAAGCATGAAGGCACTGTGTAGTTTCTGACTTTTAGTGATTGAAAGAGTTAAAATGGAGTTTCCAGTAATAATATAGTTAAACGTCCAGTCGGGGCTTCTCAGTTCTTGGTTTAACATGTTGTTGCTGCTCGAGAACGAGATGCAGTTGCTTTGTAGTTATTGAAAAAACAAGAGGCAGAGGCTGATCAAACATGCTGCGCTTGTGGGAATCTGATGAATAATTCTGATTAAATATTATTTGGATTTCACAGCATTTTAATTCCCTCTGGTAGCACATGATGCTGGTGACATGCATAGATGTTGTTGTTATTGGTGATCATTAGGTTTGTCGGCTCCAGCAGTGCTTTTATAGTGTAATCACTGGATATATTCTGATATTAACCTGATTAACACAATAGTCTGAGTAAGACACTACCAAACTGCATTTTGTAGTCACTCTGTCAAAAGTGTTTCTTACTAAGATTAAATCTTTGTGGGAAACAATAAATAATTCTGCACAGAAGCTGTAAGACATAAAGTTTGAAATGCTGATATCAAGATAGAAATATTAAGCTGATGGCGTGTTTATTGAAATCATATCTGTATTGTTATCAGAGTTCTAAAGGGTGTGTGTGTTTGCACAACAGTAAATCAAGCCACTTTATATCCTGTGGGTGTGAAGGGGGCGGGTGAGTAATGTGGTACGAAGTGACACCACCCACACACACACACAATTGATGGAATGTATGGAAAAAAACATAATGAAAAACCTCAGATTGTGTAACTCAGAAGTCGTAGGCTGCAGATCTTTAACTTGGTTTGCCTCCAGACCTCAATAATCAAATTGATGAGGAGAAGAAGCTTTAAATCTGTGGGAAAGGAGAAATGGAAAAGAGAGTGAGAAGATGAAATGGAAGGGAGGAGGGGTGGGCTGATGTAATGCAATACGCCAGGCAGCCAGTGGATATTTCCAATCAGGTTGATTAGAGCCATGTCTGCCATGTTGCTGGAAGCCAAGGCCTCCATTAACCAGCAGCCTGGCTGACATCAGCATAGTAATTCTCCCAGACTGTCAACGGAACGGGCAGAGGACGAGCCAGAGCCACCGGCCGTCCAATGGGAGGAGGATAACAGAGGCAACAGTGTGAGCGCAGATGACCTCTGACTCCACGATTAAACACAGCCGCACGATTCGTCAGAAAAACAATCGGCAACATACATTCGGCTGCTGCGATTAATTAAACCTAAACGGATGGAGATATTGATCCTGTGCATTTAGTGGGCCTCCTCTGTGACGCTAAATCAAGCGCTCCCTGTTAGTAGGGAAGCTTAGAGGGGTCTGTTTTTGTTGCTGACGTGCTACATGTCATCCTTAGTGTCAGATTTAAGTATTAATCAAATGTATTGATCTCGGAAGAAGTAAAACGTGTGCATGCAACAGTAGCACAGGTGTTTGACACTGCTTTGACTTTGATCGGGACGTGTGTGTACATCACGTCCAGTGGATCACATTAAAAACACTGTGTTTTTGAGACATTTTGAGGAAAAAGAGGAATTCTTATTGTTCAATTTGAATTTGTAAAGTTCCTCATCAGAATATTTCAGTTTTGCCTTTCACGCCTCAGATCGCTCCACCTTCGTGCTTTGGGAACGTTGAAGTCAGTGTGTGGAGTATACACAAGATTAGGGGCTTCAGAGGTATTTTGATTATGGCTCATGTGTGTGTGTGTGTGTGTGTGTGTGTGTGTGATGGGGAGATTACAAGGGGGAGCTCAGACTTTGAGTAATCCTGCTCCAGACTGCAGTTGGAGCAGGGATGTAAACCTCCACTAAACTCAGTGTTTCTTCAGTTTTAAGCTGACAAACTACTTTTTTTAGGAATAACACCTTTTTTGTTTTTTAAACAATGACAGCCACAATGGGGACGGGGACACAGAGCGGAACTTAAACAACACAATAGGGTACATGTACGCACACCAGATAAAACAGTGAATATAAAAATTACAGTGTCACCAAATGGGTTCAGGATTATATCGCAGGTAAATCGTATATTAAAGGACTGGTGCCTGCTCGCAAGTTTCAAGGGATTTTTATTTGATGTTGGCACTTGCCATTTTAAAAATATATCCACCTGATTACTAATCCTAAAAGACTCTGAGGCTGCTAGAAGCCCAAGCTGAGAGAACCAAACATGTACTGGAGGTAAATCAACAGACTTCCACTCTTCAACAATAATAAGGTGGTAGGTTCCTTCCTCTCTATCCACCACAATATTCCCTGCATGAGATACTTGCGTGGAAATGTCAAGGAAGCTTTGTGACGTTGCTCCATGAATTTATAATGAACGTGTCTCTCCTGTCTCGAACCCCTCGACACTTTCTTATCGCTGTTCTTAGACGTATCTCATGGTCTTTATTCGGTTTTCTCTCCTTTAGCCTTTCGAGGTCAGTGACCTCCTGCAGGGGCTGAACTTCACCAAGGTGCTGAACTGCCTGGTCGCCCTGAACAAAGCTACTGAAGGCAAGATCATTGTGGTTTTGTGCATGTGTCAGTGTGTTTGTTCTGAAGCTCAATTTTCTTCTTTGCAGTGCTTTTATTTTGCATTGTGCTCTATAAATGTATATTTTCAATGTTATTGTCAAATAGTTCCAATTGTAAAACCATATAGAGAACTGATCAAGATACAGAATCATTTTATTTTGATAAAACCTTTTATTAGTATTATGTCATGTGAGATAAATGTTTAAGACATAATTTTTTTTTAGTAAAACTGCTCATTAGAATATTGTGCATTTGCAGATTTAGGTGTTTCTGAGGACAGTGTGTGTGTGTCGCACTCCTCAACATCCAGGATCAAGTCATTTGATTCTCTCAACACTCAGAGTCGCTCCTCGAAACTGCATCAGCCTCAGTACCGCAGCCTGGTGAGTAACCATGACAACCGCAGTAACATAACTCACAAGTAATGGTAGAAAACAAACACTGACCGGGAACCGTCTCCTTCCTAGGACATGTCGGAGGGCAGTGGGTGTGTCCAGTTGCTGGTCAAGGCACGCTTCCCCTTCCAGCAGACCAATGAGGATGAGCTCTCTTTCGGCAAGGGTGACATCATCAGCGTGAGCAGGCAGGAGGATGGGGGCTGGTGGGAAGGCTCGTACAACGGCAAATCTGGATGGTTCCCCAGTAACTATGTGCGGGAGCTTAAAGGAAGTGGTGGGTGAAGCTCTTGTTCATTTCCCAAAATCATATTTCTATTCTCCTCAAACTAGTCCTGTCCTCAGTAGATGGTTTGGTTGCTGTTCCTGTTTCAATCTCTCAGATTAACATCTGAAACTGCTTTTTGCGTCCTAAAGCTGATTCCGAACACTCCGGTAATTTAGCAAATGAAAAGAAAACATTTTAATTCAGAAACTTAATCCCATTCATCTCTGGATTTAATGGCTCAAATATCCAACTGCTGCCACATCCCTGTGCCTGATTGTGTTGGTTAGTTGTGTGTGAGGCAGGAAACAAGAAAGGAAGCCCCACAAGCACACAATGACCGGAAGTTCCAGAGCTGCTGTATAGAAAAAGAACTTCCTGACTTAACGCTTCACAACAGCAAACAAGGAGCATGATCACAGCGTACAGAGTAGCAGCACATGCATTCATGCAGTGACCATTCAGTGGGAGTTGTTTGATTTGTGAGATGAAGCTGGTTTGTACCGGAGAGATGCAAAGTAGTGCTGCCTGTAAATGTTTGTCCAGCACAAGGAAGAATCTTCTACGTAACAGTCGTCTTGACATAATTCACTGAGCCTTAGTCTGCATCTCTAAGAAGACCCCTTACACAAAATAAAGACGAATAGATTGTAAAGGTTTCTCCTGTTTGTCCTCTTTGTGTTTTTAAAGGCATCCTAATTGTTGCAGATTCAACTTCAAATAGCTATTTACCTTCTCTGCTCAGTCAGATTTGAGATTTACATGAATACACTCAGTATCTAGAAAATAGTCATTACTCTGGTTGTACATTTATATATCTCCAAAGAGCAATATTGAACTGAAGGATATGACAACTTTTACTGTCTCCATTTTCTTTTCTTTGTATGTGTCTCCATTTCCTGCCACTGACCTTTAAACCTTCCTTCTGCTTTCAGATAAAACATTAGACAAGCCAAAGTCTGGGACTTTAAAAAGCCCACCCAAGGGTTTTGACACCACGATCATCAGTAAGACGTACTACAACGTGGTGAGCATCATTCTGGAGAGACCATGTTTGTGTCTGCGTGTTAATTGTCAAATGCTCATGCAAGAAAATCTGTTGATTATTATTTCCCAAATTGTTTTTGGGTAGAACGTAGACGTTTTGGGGAAAAGGTTTGAAATGGGATGGGAAACAAATCTGAATATTTGAAGATGCCATTACCCACAAATTAAATAAATAATCTCCTGCGTGTAGCTCTTAGACTGCTGGAGTGAACCCAGTTAATGGATGTGTGTGTGTGTGTGTGTCTGCTTTTATCAATTATTTTTCATCCACATGTCCAATTAATGATTGTGGAGCCATTGACCGTGTGTGTGTGTACAAGCATGTGTTGATTTGTGGGGGCTGCATGGCACTACTGCATATGTCATCTGTGTGTGTGTGTGTGTGTGTGTGTGTGTGTGTGCGTGCGTGTGTGCGTGCGTGCGTGCGTGAGTGAGTGTGAGTGAGTGAGTGCAGCAGATGTAAAGTAGGTTATTGCTTCCATTTCAGTGGTTTCTGGGGCAGCCTTGCCCCAGGGTTGTCTCCTGCCTGCGTGTGTTTGTGTGTGTGGGTGGGTGTTCGCGTGCGTGCGTTTTAATAATGTAACAAGCTGCACAGTCACTCTAGACAGTCCATATTCTTTGGTTGGAGTACCTAAGTGTCCCACACACTTAGGCACACATGCAAACACAGACACAGACCCTGCCTGACGTCAATGCTGTAAACAAGAATGAAAGAGGAAAAAAGTTATAAATAAAGAATATTTTTTCCTTTTTCTTATCGAGCCTTTCAGAGCTTTAGAACAAAAGCATGTAGAGGATTCAGACTTTGAGCCTTTTTTTGACTGTGTGTTTTTGTCTGTAAATGTTTTCATGCGCTTGATGTCAATGTTAATTTCCAATTATAAAATATGCTCTCAATTTCATTTTGTGTCAGAGCTGCAGTGGCAGTCTGGCTTTTACAACATCTGTCTAAAATGCTACAATTCATTAGCAGAGAAACCTCGTTCCTGTGAGATTTCTGATGAGAGATTAGCAAATTAGCCTGTGGAGTAAGGCCCATTGAAAAGCTAATGTGTTCCAGCTCCCTGAGGGTCTGATATCTCCCTCCATTAGCCTTTTACAAAATACCACCTCCACCAACAAAACAAAGTGCCCATAGAGTGATTTTCATCTGCTAAATTAACTAAAACGTCAAAGTTCATTATCTGTCAGTTTACATAGTTCTTGATATGCTGATGGTAAAAACACTTAGACTGACTCACGATTGGTCTGTCCCGTGTATCAGCGGGACCTTGATCGGCGGAACTTCCATCCCATCTTTTCTCTGGATAATGGGAGGAAGTGGAGATGCATCATCCATCACACACAGTCTAGGGTTTAAGATAATATTAACGTATTCCACATAAGCCATATTAAAAAACATTACAGGAGTAATAGATTGCATTTGAGTGACTGTGTATTTAGTTAAAATTGAGTTATATTTCAATAGTAATGTTTGACTCACTGGCTTTTCTTTAGATATTGTTGCACCCTTCAAAGTTGACTTGTCCCATACAAGGATTACAACAATTTGACTTCCTTTGAGTTTATAGTTAAATATCACCATCTACCTAAGAAATATAAGATTTTCAAAATAAGTGTTACTGCTATATGTGAAAGGATTTGGGAATTTTATTGACACTCATATCTTTTTACTATCACTGTATATAATATTAAAGTCTCTGTGTGTGTCAGGTCCTACAGAACATCCTGGAAGCAGAGACTGAATACTCCAGAGAACTACAGAGTCTCCTGGGCTCATACCTGCGCTCACTTCACCCCACAGACAGGTGCCGTTATTTTGATCCTTTTTAGTTTTTATTTTATTTATTTATATACACACAAGCATATCTGTTGCTATCCTAATATAGTCTGCACAATTTCCCCAGAATTTAGTGTACATACACAGTACATTTACTGCATCTATACTGTATTGTCCATTGCAATATTTATAGTATATGTATGGATTACAGCCAATGAATATATATATATATATATATATGTTGAAGCAAGTCAAATACACTGATTTATTTATATCAACCTAATCAAATCTACAATATGTAGAATTAATCAATACTGCACTTTTCAAGATTTGATTGATCTGATTTATTTCTGGCACCATTTAGTGATTAGATTTCCTCTTAAGTAAAAAAGGATTTTTGTCTATATGATGAGGCTGCAGTTTACTCATATCTAAATTCTAAATCCCTGATTCTACAAAAGATTTAATTCAAACACAGAAATCTGTGAATATACAAATTAATCAGGATTACCCACAGAAGATGTTTAAATGATGAATGATGTCCCTCTTCTCTTCCTCTATCCTCTTCTGCTTTGCAGACTCAGCAGCGTCGACATCGGTCACATTCAAGGAAATCTGGAGGAGATCTCGACCTTCCAACAGATGCTGGTTCAGTCCTTAGAGGAACACACAAAGTCAGTGCATCCCTCTCCTCTGTTTGCCAACATCTCACTTAAATAGATTTCAGCTACAAACATGGTTGTAATCTCATGTGGGATATGAAGAGTTGATTTCACATATATTTTATATCAGACGCTGTCAATTGCAGTTTTTGAGGCAGAGGTATTTTCTCGATGAAATGGCTTTCATGCACTGCTTAATGTTTCCTTTGCCAGCAGATTGAAAATAAACTGAATATAGCCAGTATAATAGTTGTATCTTTCTTATTTGTGTCACTGAGCACAGTATGACTCATGCACCACTATTATTTTTCCTTCTGTCCTGCAGATGTATTGCATCCTGTCAAACTAACAATGCATCCTCCAGGTTCACATCAAAACAAAGCAGAGTGCAGACTGTAGATGGTGGGATGGTCATGTATTTAGTCAGTGCAGTGACAGAGACATCTAGTGGGAGGCTGAAGTAACACAGTCTTATTTGCCAATGCAGTGCAGCAACAGACGCAATCATTTTCATGTCAATGTCCTTAAATAAACCTTCATGCATCTGTGTGTATTCTGTATGTGTGATTAAATGGCTAATGTTGACATAACGTATGTGTGTGTGTAGACTCCCAGAGAGCCAGCAGAGGATCGGGGGGTTCTTCCTTGGTCTGATTCCCCAGATGAAGAACCTCTACATGGCCTACTGCTCCAGCCACCCGTCTGCTGTCAGTGTGCTCACACAACACAGGTACAGTCAGAGAATGAGTGAAAACTGTGTGTGCATGTTTAGAAACCACAAGACAAAGACAGGAAACATAAATCTAAGTGTGTGTGTGTGTGTGTGTGTGTGTGTGTGTGTGTGACAGTGAGGTGCTCGGGGAGTACATGGAGTCAAAGGGGGCGTCCACTCCAGGGATCCTGACTCTAACCACGAGTCTGAGTAAACCCTTCACCAGACTGGAGAGATACCCGACGCTGCTGAAAGAACTGGACAGACACATGGAGGTGAGTCCATCCGTCCGTGTTTACTCAGATCAACCAACAAGCAAAGATGGCAACGTCTCACGACTGCTCATTTTAAAATGTTATCAGCTTAGTTTGCACTTTATACCTGTATAGGTTCAGATGGTATTAAGTAACATAACAATGACTGTGGACTGTGATCTGATTTCCATGCATCTATTGTTTCTATGTTTTATCTATTTTATTATTTTTCGTCTTTGTCTCAGGACCAACACCCTGACAGAGCTGATCTCCATGCTTCAATGACATCCTTCAAAACACTTTCAGTAAGATGATGAGATCTTATTTAAAGTTTAAATTAACAGTAGCTTCCTGACTTGTGTGTGCAATTTTACCAACTAACAAAATGGAAAGTATCTCACAGAGATTTTGTGCCTTTGTATGATTGTATGATTGTGTGTCGGTGTGTTCAGGCTCAGTGTCAGGAGGTGAGGAAGAAGAAGGACCTGGAGTTGCAGATTTTAACAGAGCCAATCAGAAACTGGGAGGGGGATGACATCAGAACCCTGGGCCCCGTCCAGCACATGTCTCAGGCCACAGTCCACACGCAGAACTGTCAGGTACCGTCAGAAAACCTGAGCAGCTTAAACCCTGATACCATCTTTTTCCATCTGAACTTAAAAACACATTTGTTTGCTATTTCAGCTGGTTAAGTTTAATTACTTCACCTCAGGCTATTGTAGTGTTTCAACTCTTCAGTTTATCCTTTAATCTCTTGTGGCAGCCATTAAAAGTTACTTTGACCTACTTTTGTTTTTTAGGAGTCAAACGAACGCTACCTCGTCCTCTTCCCTCACACTCTGCTCGTTCTATCTGCCAGCCTGCGAATGAGTGGATTCATCTACCAGGTGCGTTTCACATGAGATTAAACCGAAACCCTGAGTTTGTCAGGACTTATTAACACTGTGTGTCTATGTAGGGGAGGATGCCACTGTCAGGGATGCTCATCTCCAGAATAGAGGACGGAGAAAACCTGAAGAACGCCTTTGAAATATCTGGTCAGCCCCTTGTCTCTTTTACCTCGTAGATATTTCTGATTTCAGCTGATGATTTTAATGTTTTTGCATTCGATACCTGTGAGGTTCAAAGTTGAATTGGATTTAACAGGCAGGTTACTTATTAAAAAAAATAAGATCACACTAATTCAGCCTAAAACAAAAAATACCTGAACAAACTGGTCAAATAATGTATCACGTATTTCACATCTTATTTTACTGTATTGTTTAGAATTTGATAAAAACTATTATCACATAATATTGTGTGTTTTATTGTTCAGGTTGTCAGAGTGAGCGGATGCAGGTGGTGTGTAACACTCAGCAGGACCTACAGGAATGGCTGGACCTTCTCACCAAACACACACACACTCCAGCTGCACTCGCACACAAACATCAGTCCGTCTGTCACACAGTAAGTGTTTTGTTCCTCACTCGATTCTCATCCACTTCTTCACCCCCCTGCTTCTCTCTCTAACGTTTCCTCGCCTCCTCCCAGTTGCCCTCTCACCCGGTCACCCCCACCAGACACTCTGAGTCACGTGGAGGGAGCAGCGGACACACCTACCACACCCTTCCCCATCCCGCCTCATACGGGACGCCACACGGTAGCAACCCAATGTGGGGTCCCCTTGAGCCACCGAGCACCCCCAAACCCTGGAGCCTGAGCTGCCTTCGCCCTGCGCCTCCGCTTCGGCCGTGTGCTGCTCTCTGCATCAAGGAGGTGCTGCTCAATGACACTTTCAAATAATTCTGCACACCTCTTCTTCTGTTCATATTCATTCACTTGAAATTACACAATGTAAATGTTAACCTGGAGCTACAATTACATTTCTGCTGTGAACAATCCAATCACTTTTCTTTCTAGGATTTGAGCAAAAGTCCTAAAAACATGAAGAAGCTGCTTCCGAAGAGGAAGCCAGAGAGGAAACCTTCAGAAGAGGACTTCACTGTCAGAAAGAGTCAGTTCATAAGTGCGTTTATAACAGCATTGTTATGCACTAGAAGTGCGTCCTCACTCGTCCTTCTCTCCCGTCCTTGTCTTTCAGGCACCGTAGCTCTAGAGGAGGACGCTCAGATCCTGAAAGTGATCGAGGCGTACTGCACCAGCGCCAAGACACGACAGACTCTCAACTCCAGTAAGCACACACACACACACACACACACACACA